GCAACTCCTACTAACTTTTTAAAGATTTCAAAAAATAAACAAGGATTAGCTGATCCCGCACTCTGTTGAAAGAAAGTCGGGAATTATCTGACGCTTTTTCAAACTTATGTTGATGATATTATTTTTTGCTCTACTTACCCTGTTTTGTCTAGTGAATTCGAAAATTTGATGAAAAGTAAGTTTGAGATGTGTATGATGGGGAAAATAAACTATTTTCTTGAATTAAATATTCATCAAAGCAGAGAACCGATTTTTATAAATCAAGAAAAATATACACGAAATCTGCTTGAAAAGTTTAGCATGACGAATAGCTCAAAATTGAAAGTACCGATGGCAGTTGGCACAAGTCTTAGTCCTTCATTGGAAAAACCAGCTGTTGATATCACAATGTATCGAAACATGATAGGTTCGTTACTATATCTAACAACTTGTAGACCTGATATCATGTTTTCTGTGTTCAATTGTGCTAGTTACCAGTCGAATCCTAGAGAACCTCATCTTACTGCAGTGAAAAATATATTTTGCTATCTCAAAGGCACCATTTCGTTAGGATTGTGGGATCCTTCCAAAACAGGGTTTTCCATTCAAGCAATTTCGGATGCTGATTTGAGTGGATATCAATTAGATTGAAAAACCACAAGTGGCGAATGTCAATTACTGTATGGGAAGACTTTGAGCTGGAAGTCGAAAAAACAAACATGTGTTTTGATTTCCATGGCAGAAGCAAAATATGTTGTTGCTGCAGCTTGCACTTCTCAAATCATATGGATTCAAAGTCAACTGCATGATTATGCAATCAACATGAAGAAAGTTTCATTGTATTGTGATTCACAAAGTCTCATACGCATTTGTCACAACCCTGTGCAACATTCAAAAACAAAGCACATTGCTCTTCGTTATCACTTCATCAAAGATCATGTCGAGGACGAAAACATCGATGTTCATTTTGTAAAAACTACTGATCAGCTTGCTGATATTTTTACAAAACCATTGGATGAAAAGTCTTTCATGAGAATTTTAAATGGCTTAGGAATGTTGGATGCAAATTCTGTTCCAATACAATCTTCGATAGAATGAAAAAGGCAAATGGTCGAAAATTGGCGACGTGTTGGTTACTGTTCATGGTCAACCCATCGACATACTTTGCATTCGATATCCTGTTTATTGCTTTGTCAACATTTTTAATTTTGATGTGTTACAATTTTTCGTTAGTCAGGTACAATTCTTTTGTTTTCGTTATCAAAAATCAAAAACTACAAAAACATTTTTGTTCTTGTTTTTCGTTTTCAAATATCAAAAATACCAAAAAGTTTTTTCGTCATTTTTGTTATTTTCATATAAAAAACTCTAAAATCCAAAAATATTTTTTTTGTGTTATTTGTGTTAATCTTTTCAAGTGAAATTATTATCAAGGATTTTTGGAGGTTCATGCATGCTGCTTAAGGGAGAGGTATATTTTCGAAACTATGTACTAGTTAGGATGTCCCTAGAAGCATGCTGCAGCATGTCGACCCAAGCCTCCAAGACTCAATTAGTCATTTAGCTACCATACTTTACTCAACTGAGTTTAGAGTTTTCTGCTTGGTCAATAAACTGCAGTGGTACTTTTGATCCTTTAAACCAACCTTTTTCATCCTAAAGTTATTTCACGATCACACATAATAACATATGTACAAGAGATTTTAGGTATAAAACAATCAGGATCTAGACATATCAAAGCTTTGTCTTTATGATCCAATATCAGGAGACCGTGATGTAAGTGAAACCCAAAATTTCGAAACATACGGAATTGACGAGGAATTTAGTTCTAGATTTTAAGGAAACTTTTGTTTTAGTACCTATTTTTCGATACTCAAAATCATTTTCTTTCTTTTGTAAAAATCTTGATCAAATGTTCGAAACCCACGACATTTGTTACCCAATAGGATTCAGGAATAATTTTGGTTAATGAATTTGATTTCAGTATGAGTGTCCTTCTCAACGCTTGTTACTTAATAAATTTTACAAAGCCTACTTGTCATTGACTACACTGCTGAAACAGGTAATTTCATTTACAGCTTGTCACTCTTATTTTTAGACGTGCTTCGTAACAAAATCTTAAACCACCTTCAAAACTTGATTAAAGAAGCCTTTCGATACTTCTATAAAAGTATTTGATTGTAATTCATAGGAAACCACACAAGCTGTTGATCATCTCTCTTGATGATTAACAAAGTGATCTTTGTCTGGGATCCAACTGCATTTGTGTCGAAATATTTTCGACATCACTGAACCAAAATATTTCTACCTTGCTTCTTATCTTTTTCTTTGGTACACATTGCACCAACGAAATCTTTGAGGTTCTGAGTAATACCAACTCATGTTGATGATTTCGAAAGACTGGCACATGAATTCGCTTATCAAACCTAAAAGCGAAAGAGCCTAACCTCCATGTCGAAGATTGGTGACGGTTCTAATTCTCTTGGGGCTTGTAAACAGCCTATGTGATGTGACGTGTTGTGTTCCAATCTGGGTTTCAAGGAAAAAGTCATGACCACTTTATCAATCCTAGCTACTTTTCAGGAAGGATGATCCGGTTTTCAAGGCAACACGTCAGCTGTATTTAATAATGAAACCGCTTCAAATTCAAATTTCCGATCAACTATATAAAGGGTTTTTGGGATCAATTCCAAATGTACGCTCACAAATTATTCTCAAAAGATTTGGGTGATTATACTCTCAGTTTCTTCAAGTTCCTTTCTAAACCATAATCATGGTTGCTAATCAATTGCAAACCACAGACGATGTCTCGTCTCAACCACTAATGAAGATTAAAAGCACAAATTTACAAGTTCAAGGTGATGAAAGTGTTTATCTAGAATAGTTACAAATGTTAATCGTGGCTCTCAAGAGTTCGGTATTATCTACTACCATGTTCAATACTTTTGCTGTCCCAATGTCTTGCCTTTCTGTGGTTGGTTATACTGTAACTTACAGCAAAACCATGATGATTGTTACTTTTCAATTGACGAATGACAAGAATTTCAGACTGTCACAAAAGTTATTTTCCCAAATCTTGAACATCCCTAATTTTTAACCGTTCTACAAAGTTTCGAATGAACAAGTGGTTCATATGTTCATTGAGATGGGTTATCAACATACTCTCACAAAGATGCTTGACAAGTCGAAGTGTGGGGTTGCCGTGTCTTTGGAATTTTATATTTGGCATTTATCTTCGATGCTTGACAGGTCAAAGTGTGGGGCTAGATAAAGGAAGATTGGAAGTCTATGCTATGGTGGTTTGTATTTACTATGATCTTCGATTGGATTATGCGACACAACTTTGGAATGAATTTATCAAAAGCATTGAAAACACAAATGTTGTTAATGAGGTCTCGTGTGCGCGCTATTGGAGTCTTATTCTTCAGTTTGTATATGGCAAAGAGGGAATTCAAGTCCCTAAAAACAAATAAATTGCTAGTTTTGCTTTATATCAGTTTCCTAAAACCGTTGAAGATGATGCCAGAAAGTATCAAAGTATTGCTAGAATTGAAGATGCGACGCTTCAAAAAGTTGATCCAATGAATCATGTGTTCGTCACTTACTTGACAACGATCAATCATGATGTTGTAGCTGGGGTGTTGTTTGCCAAGACAACCGAAGGTTCTTAGAAGAAGAAGAAAGGATCCAAGAAGGAAGATCAGCCAAGCCCTTCGAAGGTTGTTTCAGATGACAAAGAAGCTAAATCTTCAAAGAATATCACAGTTAAAGTGAAAGCTTCCAAGAAGAACTCAAAGCATGTTGTTACTGAAAATGTTGATGCTTCGACGGATGTGGTACCTTCAAAGACTGGTGTTCTTAAATAGCTTAAGAAAATGGCTCATCAACCTCACAATTCTCCTGAAAGCTATGGAAGTTTTTCACCTTCATTTTGTTAGAAAGCCACAGCTTGGTCGAATGGGAGTTCTTATTCATGAAATACATGTCCCTGTTTCTCCAAACACAAAGAAAATAAGAGTAGAAGATATGGTGCAGAAGATTTCAAAGAAACAAAGGAAGCAACGAAAACTAGTATTGCATGAGGACTCAAATGACGAAGACGTGATTCCTAAAACACCACTTGCAAATACAACTATGGTCCATTCTTCACCAGTAAGGGATTCTCCAATTAAGTTGAATTTCGAGGAGACTGGAAATCTGGATGGCAATGTGGAAGCTTCTACAGTGGACACAACCATCAATCACGGTGAACAACCAAAGAGCTCGAATCCTGAGAAGACAATGGTCGTACCACCCGAGGTTTCGCATAACGATTCATCACATTAGGAGGTTCAAACCTCAGGCATCACTGTAAACGTATCTGATATAGATGCAAATGTCAACAAGGGTGATGGGGTTTCGACCCAAGTAGCCCAAGGTAACCCTTCTCTAATTGTTACATCTAGTTTCGAAACATCACTTGTTGATACCTTTGTTTCATTACCACCATTCATCGTTTCAAACACATCTCACATCCCTTCTTCTACTCATTCTCTTATTTTCGATACAATTATGAAACAATCCATTACTTCCTTATTTCCATCACAATCTATTAAAGAACCCAAAACAGTTTTTTATGACAAAACTGATGATGGAGAGTTTGTTGGTTCTTTTGCTGACATCAAGTTTGATCTGGAGGAAGAGAATATTCTCGATAACATGCTCATGTCTAGGAAGCAATTCAAGATTTTAAATCGTAAGCTTAATTCTCTACTACAAATTCAAGCTGATGTAGGAGGCAACAATTCAGTTTCGGGTATTGAAGTGAATGTTATGTTGAAAGCTCAAGAGCTTCATCTTCTCAACAAGCTTGATCAATCTGAAAAAAGCAATGAATTAAGGATCAAGAATCAATCTAAGATGTTCAATGATCCATTGAAGGAATTGAAAATAGTTTCCAAACATCAACATTTTTTTTCGTTCAGGATATCAAAACTGTTTGAGAGGATGTCAATCGAAAGCTAGAATAGTTAAGATCAGATATGGCAAAGGATTTGCAGAAAGTGAAAAATAGCTATTCTTCAATTCTCGAAAAGGTGGATATTATTGTTAGGGCTGTAACCAATATAGCTCAATCTTATAACTCTATGATTCTGAAGATCGATGGACAAGCTGAGTTGAACATGAAATTTTTTGGCAATATTGATGTGTTTTTGGGTGAATTAAAGACCATGTTGTCGACTTCAAGTTCTTCTTCTTTATTCACCCATGAGTTTTTAACTCATAAGTTTCGTATGCCTGAGTCCACAATTCATTCTCAATTGGATCCTCTTTCGAAATTGTTGAACGTACTTCCAACAGATGCCCCACCTGTTATTACAGGGGTGCAAGGGGGAGAAAGAAAGGTGGATTGAGTAAGTAAAGGCGAAGGAGCATCAAGTAAGACAAGTAGTGATGATGCGAGAGTTGTGGGAAAAGTCTTGACAAATCAAATTTGAATGACTTTAACAATGAAGACTAACCAATTGTTTCGACAACAATAACAACAAAGACCTTTGGAAAAAGGGATTGTTATTGGTGGTTCAAGTTCAACTTCAGAGCCAACTCCCATTGTAGCAGATAAAGACAAAGATTGTCATTAAAAATTCGAAGGAAGAGAGAAAAGCAGAGATTGAAGCTAAAATAGAAAAAAAAAAAAAAAAGACAATTCAAAGTAATCTTAGACTTCGTCTGAATGGTCCTCCAACTCTGAACAAAGGTGACCTAGGAAAACTACATAGATATGAGAATATTGAAGCTATGGTTGTTCAAGGAGAAATGCATGACTTTGAGAAGAAACCGAAGAAGATTTATGCAACTGATAACTCAGAATTGAATCAACTTCATTTTCCTATCAATAAGATGATGTATCTTACTACACATTATCAAATTGTTGACAAGTTCACTGAAAAGGAAGAGTTCAAGAAGTTAAGGTTTCGATTTCATGCAGTGCTTGGGAAATAAGAAGAAGATGCGTGGTCACTCATCAAGATAGTTCGAGTTTTGAATATATCTAAAGATGTTTTATTCGAGGGTGTACTTTAAAACTTTCGATATCATCTTATCAGGGCAAAAAATACCAAGTTTACCTTTACTGTTGCTAACTTTCCTCTTATGAATCTAAATGACTTGATCTCAGTCATGAAGATTCTTAAGGTCAACAATGAAACGAAACTTCAAAGTGCAAGCAAAGGAGATTATCTGTTGGGTCTTGCTCATATCAATACTTTCATAGACAATTATTTCAATTGCTTAACATTGATAGATGTTGAGTTAGCTTTGACAATGGACAAAGAGATAGTTGTACCTCAATCAATCTTGAAGAGTAAAGCTGATTTGTTGTCATATGATGATGGCGAGATTTGTCTAAAGCCACTCGGAATAGTTTTTGTTGGAAGAAGAGACAAAGGAAGAAAGGAAAAGTATTTTTTTCAATCATGTGATGTTGAAAGATATACTCCATCTCATTATATGAACCTGATGGTTCGTATGAATAATTGTAAGAAGAATAATGAAAAATATAAGGGTGAGTTAAAGATGATGATAAATTGGTATGCAACAATGAGAAATTCGATGCATCAAGCAATCCATATACTAATGACTTAGATTTGACATTTATCACAAAAGGGGAGAATGTTGGGGTTCGAAAGTTGTGGGATGTCGAAACTATCTTCGTTATGCATAATGTCTAATTTTGGATTGTATGTTTATTTTAAGGACTACTTTTGTAATGAAGCTTAGATGTCGAGTCCTTGTATTTTTGTATGCTTTCAGTTTTCTTAATAAATATGGGAAGGATACTTTAGAGGTAAAGAACTTTTCTGACAGTATTCATATTCTCTTTCAACCTTGTGTATTAAACTGATCAAGCAATAAACATGCCAATCATATTATATTTAGATCTCTTGTTCTAAATCATTTCATTCTCTGATTTTGTTTGATTACTCGATTCAATTTGGAACTACAAATACCAATCCCTAATCATTACTCCAAAACAGGAAACGATTTGAAATAGGGCATTCCACATCACCACCTCCCGCCACCACCACCACCACCAGATGCCACTAGTATAAAAGAATCACAAGTCAGAAAATGTTTTTGTTTCTTGTTTCAACTTCTTGTAAATGAAAAGTTGATTATATCAAAATCATCAAATATTTAACATTCATAACCAAAATTTGATTCAAAAGTTCCAATCCATCAATGAATGATCATCAATTTTAAAGCACACAAAAAATTCCAAATCAGATGAAGGAATCATGTGTTTTAGGGGTTTCTTTGTTTGGGTAATCTTTTAGCAAAGAAAAGAGATAAATTGTGACCCACCTGCAAATCATCTTCATAAATATCGACATCGAAACCCTTCTGTAGTTAACACTCTTATGTGTTGCTCAACCGTTGGTAGCTCCGCCTAGGGACGCCATATTATCTACAATTGGTTTCCTTTATGATAATTGTCTCATGTGCACCTTTCCCCCAACCTATCGTCGACATCCCTTTTGCTCAACTTCCTGATGATCGATCCAAATAAAGATCAGTTTTAGGAAAGCGATATAGTCAGCAATTGAGGAGTAATGATGCAGAAGTGGTGTTAGCCCTCTCTTAGTCTCATCGTCTTCGTATTTCTGTTGTTTTTATCACACACACACACATAAACAATATGAGTGTGAGTTCCCTCTTATTGTTTAATCACAGAGTAAACCAAAGATGGGTGATTTGTAACACCCCAAGTTCCAGAGGTGCTATTGAAGGACTTAAAGTGTAAATTAAGCAAAGGGACTCGAAGAGTAGGCGTGCTTAATCGCCAAGTCGGAGCAGGATTGTGTCGCGGGTTTAGTGGCCAACTCACCGAGTCGGTGGCTTTGACTCGACGAGTTGGTGCTGAAGAGAGAAAACACTAATTCTGAGGGTTGTGCCCTATATAAAGCACATTATAACCCACCCTCAGCCTCTTTGCTACCCTTTTGAGATCAAAAAACCCTAATTTTTGTGTAAGAGTCCATTGTTGAGGAGATTGACGCTTGGAAGAGGAAATTAGTGGAAGGAGCTTGAAAAATTATAGGCTAGCACCAAGGGGCTTGTGTAGATCTGGGATCTACATTAGTTTGGGCACATCTCATAGGTAAGGAGTCATTATCTTAAGCTATTTCCTTTTTGGTTCATCCTTGGTGGTTGATTTGGAGTTCCTTAGCTTGTTTGAGAGCTATTTCGAGTTAGAGTCTTAGATCTGAGGTTGCTACTTTAGATCTAGGCTTGTGATGGTCCAAAATGTCATTAAAACTTCTGTTTAGGAGTTGTTGGTGAAGCCCCCTAGTCCTTAGCCCTAGCCCTAGTGTGTTGTGGGCCTATATCTCCTTGGTTTCACATAAAGTTTGCAACTTTATGTGAGGGTTAGACTGTAGAAGAGTGGATCTATGGATTGGAGCCCCTGCATGGCTCGAAAATCCACTGTATGGATTAAGAACTGGAGACACTCGGCGAGTCACATGGGTGTACTCGACGAGTTGTATGAACATGTGCATGGACTTGATGAGTTGGAAGAACAACTCGGCGAGTCTGTTGAAGATTGCCTTGGACTCGGTGAGTCTGTTCTTGGACTCGATGAGTCTGGTCGTGGAACCCTAACCTCTTCTAGTTAAGCCTCAAATCGGTGAGTCGAGGGACGACTCTATGAGTTGAGCAGGATGAGACTCGGAGATCGTTGGACTCGACGAGTCTTGGGGTGACTCGGCGGGTTGATTCGTGTTACGGGAGTTTCTGAGTATAGGAACTCGATGAGTCGACGGCTTGACTCGGCGAGTAGAATCAACCAGGAAGGTTGACTTTGACTGAGGACTTTGACTTTGACCAAGAGTTGACCAATTTGACTTGCAAGGGTATTTTGGTCATTTTGGTATTTATGGAATTAGTTCTTTGGTAGTGTTCTGTGGTGAAGTTCGTGTCGCTGGTCGGAGCAACTTGGTCTTATCTCTTTAGTCGGTAATTGTAGGTAAGTTATCCTCACTATATCGACAGGGTCTACAGCACCAAGGCCGGCCTATTATTGGATGGAAATCTTGGTATTGTTTGTTATGTTATTGTTTCTCTAGATCTGCATACTGGTATTTAGGATGGTGTTATGTTAGTGACCTGGTTAAGGTCGGTACCCGGTATATAGGGTAATGTTATGCTAGTGACCGGTTAGGTAGGAATCCTGGTTAGGATGTTAATATGCTATGTGATATGTTTGACTGTTTGTCTTGTTAAGGATTTGGTGTGTGATTAATTGTTTTTATGTGCTCATGGTTGTTTAACAGTGGTTGGGTTGAGGCGGGTCCTACTTTGTGCTGTAGGCCAACATACCCAGGGCGAACCGGATATTCCGAAGGCCCAGCGAGCCGTACGGATAGGCTGAAGGCTCCAAGAGGGCGGACCAGGCCGACTGAAGGCCCGGTGTGGGCGGACCGATCATACTGTAGAGTCATAGATTGGACCAGGTAGATTGAAGGCCCGGTGTGGGCGGACCAATCACACTATAGACTCGATGTACATGGCTAGACTCGAAGGGTGGACCAGGTTGACTAAAGGCCCGGTGCGGGCGGACTAGTCACACAGTAGACCCGATGTGCATGGTTGTTCTATCTGTGATATGTTATGAGTATGTTGATGTGTGGTTGGTATTTTGGGGGTAACTCAGTAAGCTTTCAGGCTTACAGTTCAGTGTATTGTTTCAGGTAATTCAGGAAATCGTTGCAAGGCGAAGGCATGATCGTACCACTCCTCATGTTTTATGATTTATGTGATATGGTTTTGGGGGATACTCTAATGTTTAAACTATTTTGAAATCAAGATGTATGAACTTAATGGTTTTTGAATGAATTAAAATGTTTTAATTTGGCTTAAATTTTATGGGTGTTACAAGTTGGTATCAGAGCCTTGGTTTGAATGAATTGGAGGAACATTCATGTGAATCCAGTCTCAAATCAAGGAGGGATTTTCAAAAGGTTTTTCGAAATAAGTAAAGGAGGATGCAGAGGGTACAATCAGCAAGAGCCAGTAAGTAGACCCCAAAGCACCATACAAATTATTTGATTATGTGATATGGTAGAACAGCATGCTAGTACTAGGTTAGGGATCTTTAGGAATTTCATGATAGAATTGCCTGATTATATGATGTCTGCTAGCCTAGGGTTTCCTTTGTATGAAATTGACATGATTACTATAGTTATTTAGTGTATGCATCATGGTTATACATAATTAAGATCTTATTGCCTAAGAATGTTTGAGTTGGCCTTATGTTATATTCTTGTATGATTAGGAGCTTAGGGTAGGATTGGATATTCGAAAGTCTATAGGGTCCAGCGTTATGTATGACTAGCATACACTAGTGTTGCAG